TTTTTTTAGCATATTTTCTCCTATTAAATTGAGGATCATGAAAGAAAATATTTTATTATTTGTCTAGCAATTGAACAAATATATTTTAGATGATAAGCAATTTCATTATAATATAATACATTAATTTAAAAAAAAAAATAAAGACTTTTAGAATTTATATAGATAACGTATAAAATGTGAATGAACAAAAATAAAAAATAAAAAATAATATTTAACTAGAATAGTTTGTCTTAATTTTTGTTTTCATTGTATATAAAAAAAATTGATTTCATTGTATATAAAAAAATAAGAATTTGTTATTCTCGATATTATAATAAATAAGAAATGAAAATAAATGATAAAACTGAAAAGATTAATTATTATTTTTCTTATATTATATCTATAAGTAAAATTTTATTAAATAAATATATATTTACAAATTTATGTGTATATATCTGTACTTACGTTTGTCAAAAAATGATTTATTTATGATACAATAATATTTTAAGCTATAGTCATCAACAATCATTTAATTAATTTTAGTTATGCAAATGTTGTATCTATAACATAAAAATTATTTTTTATAAAAAAATTATTATACATCTTAATTTGTTTGAAATTTTTTATTTGATTTATTTTTTAATAAAACTAATAAATTAAATTAAAATATTTGCCTCTGATTAAAAATCCTGATCCGTCCTTGCATTAAGGAAATGTTAACGTCCCATTCTTATTACTTAAATCATGATTTATTATTAATTTAAATAAATAAGAATTATTAATTTACTTCATTTTCTTACGTAAAGTCGAAACAACAGCTGTCAACCCCCAAGAATGCTTCTCCTTTCTTCAAATCTGAAGACAAAGATAAAATTAAGCAAATTCATGCAAGAAATATCAACCGTTAATTTAAGGGGATAAGAATGTTGGACCAGGCTACACATCCTCACAAAAACGACAAGAGCACGTGTCCGAAAGGCCGGGGAAAGTGAGTCCCTCAACTTGACAATAAAAAGGGTGTCCGCATCTGGTGGAAATAAATTTAATTATCTGTGGTGCCCAAGATCAGATGAGTAAATATAGATCGTTCGATCAATTTAGTTTATGGGCTCCACGAGTAGCCTTCTGTTGACCAACACGACTTTGTGCCCTAAAACGGGTGCAAATTGGAATAATTTCGGTCCTTACTGCCCCTAAAATATCTGAGAAAATAACAAATTTGCCATCCATGTACATTAGCCTAATGTAAAAAATGTCCGAGAATATGCACGATCAAATGTTTGCTTAAAAGTGCAAACATCCTTTTAACTTAAAGAACTTGATTCACAGCCAAAAAACCAAGGTACTTTATTCTAATTTTCCTTTTCTAACCAAAAAAAAAAAGAATTTGTCTCAACATTTAAGTTTGAACTAGTAATAGTTTTCTCTTCTATGCATTTGATTAAAAGCTTAACATTTGTTGGTAATAATGTAATTTGTTAATAGAATAATTTTTTAATTTTAAGTGATTATGTATTACATTAAAAACTTAACATTTTATTAATAATTATATAATTTTTGGATAAAGTAGTGAATTTTAATTTTTAAATAATTGTAATTCAAGCTCTTAAATATATATATATATATATATATATATATACACACACGTATACATAAAGAGAGAGTATTTACACATACACATCGGCAACAAATTTAGAGGTTTTTATTTGTGTTGGTGGGGACGGGCATGTAATCATCATACTTTTTGCAAAATTAATTTATTAGGGTGTGTAACTCCAATATTCATATTATATCCTCTGTAACATTTTTGTTTTTAGTTTGATCTAAAATTAATACATTTTATCTGCGTCTTAAAAGTGTCTGACAGGATATTAAGATCTTATTAATTAGTTTGGGAGACTTGAGTTGATAGGAATTGTAAATTCTCAATTTTATTCGGAAACTTCTAATTTTAAAAACTACTGAATTTTTACAAAAAGCTCTATTGAATTTAAATTGTTATTGGGTTTTGAGCCATATTTATTTTAGGCTTGACGGATCAATTTGGTTTGATTTGGGTACGTCCCAAATTAAGAGTCTAAGTCCTTCCTCCCTATTTTTATTTTTATTTTATTTTTTTTTTCATTTCTTTTATTTTGTTTAATGATAAAATAAAATATAAAATATAAAATATAAAAAAAATCAGATCAAAACAGAAAATTCGAATATCCAAAGATAATTTATGAAGTTATTTTTTGGAAAAAGAGGATTAGATTAAATTTTTTTAAAGATGAAATTTTGAGATTATTTTTATGAAAATAATGAAATTTTAATTTAAAGTTAAATCTCATTTTAATATGGTCTCTTATCACAATCGAGGTAAATTATTTTATTTAAACAAAACGATTCATATAGAAAAAACACAATTAACCTCAATCGAACAGATAATTCAGAAAGGGAAAATCAAGCAACACAGACTCTCGACATAGCCACATTTTTTAGGAGAGACAATCCAACAAACAAAAAAATTCAGCAAACTCAAATTTGAGAATGTTTTTTTCTTTTAGGGACTTAGATTAGGTCCGTTTTGGGGAGAATTATTGTGGAGTTTGGGGTGATTTGGTTAGAGGAAGACAATGTGAATGAGCTTTGGTGGTTTAGGGTTGATAGCTGGCGGAATAGGGTGGAGATAGTGGCGGAAGGTTTAGGATAAAACTCTAGATCTAGGCTTTTGGGTTAAGTTTTCGAGAAATTTAATTTCAAAAGGTGAAGAGAAGGTTGAATGGTTTAGTTCTGGAATTTTTTGAGCAATTCTGGCGATCAAAATCAGCAGACATCAACGGTCGACACGGGAAGAGAGATGTCGAAATCTGGAAAATTTGAAAGCCAGGGTGGGCCAGTGTTCATGGCTCATGAATTTTATGGGTTTGGTAGAGAACGGATTTAAGGTTACAGAGAAATAGCGGTGGAAAAATAAGGAATCAAAAATTTACTTTTTAATTTTATAGTTTAGTGAAGCGACGCCGTTTGATATTGAAGGCAGGAGGATCCGTATGTCTACCCATTGTTACCCGACCCAAAGATGACTCAAATTCTTACCCGCTTCCAAAAATCACTAAGCTGAGCAGAAGTCGTTTTCTACTTGCAGCCGAGCCGGAGTCGTGAACCAATTGTTGTCAAGCCATTTTTCAGTCGCAAACTTAGCCATTGAACCGATCTGGGGCCATTGACCATGGTTTTTTTATTTTATTTAAATTTAAATTGTTATTTTTTATACATGTTTCAATTAATGCTTTAATCATTTTGAATAAATAAAAATTTAAAAGGTTAAAATTTACTATTAGGTAAATGTAAATGGAGAATTTATAAAATTTAGGAGGTAAATGACAATTAAACATGAACGAAATTTTTAAAAAT